TTATTTAATGATCCCCACTTCGCGCTTCGTGCAGTTCATACACAGTCCACGGTACAAGGTATGGAGTGGCCCGTTTACGATTGCGCCCGCGTTCCTTCGGATCAGGACGCCCTTCTCTCAGGCCGTTGCGCTCTGATCATTGATTGGTTTATGATCCCGGATCACGAGCCACTTGCCGTATCAAAGCAAGTTGTCGCTGCCCGAGTCGAAGGCGTAGCCGTACGAGAGAGAAAGAGTAAGGGGGGAGGGGGCATCACTCACCCATGGCGTACTGAGTTTTCTGAGTCGAAAACACCTTCAGCGGACTTTTTCGGACCTATCGGTACACTCTAAAAGCTTATGAACGTTTTTATTCATGGCTTACTGAGTTCTGTGTACGTGCTCTGCTTATGCATTTTTTAATACGCCGGTGTGAACAAATTTGTTCATACTAGCGTATTAAAAAAATGCGTATGCAGAGCACGTACACAGAACTCAGTAAGCTATGAATAACAATTTTCATAAGCTTTCAGTGTGTAGAACTTGTAAGATGCACACCCTAGAATTGCTTCACTAATAAACCAAGTGTTCCACTGCTCAACACTTGCAAGTGTGCAACCGCAAGTTCAATACTTGCTAGTGTTCAATTCAGTAGCAGTACACTTACAAGTGTTCAACTCGGTATTTGTGCACTTATAAGGGTGCAACTCCTCTGTTGAACACTTACTTCACAGTAAGCACCCGATCTGGAGAAGTGTACAACAGGAGAGTTGAACACTTACAAGTGCACAAATACCGAGTTTAAAACTTGCAAGTGTACTACTACTGAATTGAACACTTGCAAGTATTGAACTTGTGGTTGCACACTTAGAAGTGTTCAGCAGTTGAACACTTGGTTTATCAGTGACACTTCACTGTAATTTGAGGTTCTTAAATGTATACGCCAAAAGGCGTATGCTACAGGATCCCGAGCGACATTTGGCGTATACTTTTAAGACATCTTTTGTCGTACATCATGCGTACATATTCTAGACATCTTTGCCCATACCATTTCTGCGGCACAGCAGAGGCCCTTTGATGGATACACTCTGAAGGGCGCTCACGCCCTGTACACACCGTCACACCTGCATCCTCAAAACAGGGGATGTGCCGTGCGAGTAGTATGGGCAAAGATGTCTAGAATCATCTATACGCCGAAAGATGTCACAAAAGTATGGGCGGAATTTTGCTCGTGTTCCTGTAGCATACGCCTTTTGGCGTATATATTTGAGACACCCCCAAATTATAGTGTAGGGTAAGATGCCCTATGATGGCCACCTTAAGAATGGGCCTGCCCAATGATGGCCACCCCTTTTTCTTGTCATGTAGACAACGATGTGAAGTAGTTTGGTTTATTATGCCCAAGTAGGGACCTTACTAGAACACAACTTCAAGGCCAAGATTGTAAAGTGACCAGATTGGCTGGAAATCGAGAAAAGTGGCCATCAATGGACAGTGGCCACATTAGGGCACCTTACCCTAGTCTCTTTTGTCGTGGAACTGCCCAACTGCCGGTTACGGCGGTTCCTGGGGGCGATTAAAATCTTTTTTGGACCTTTCACTACTAAATGGTCACTTTGATTTGACACCCGGAGCTTTCAAAAGTTAAATAATGCCAAACAGAAACCTTATACTTTAAAGCCCGCTACACGCTGTTGGACATCTCAAAGGGAAGGCACTTCTACCATCGAATCCGATCCGATCATTCACGTACACCAAAAAGATTTGATAAAGCGGTAGTTCTTATAATGACATCATTTGGTTGTTGTGAGGAACACTTCACTAGAAACGCCTCTTGCTGTTGGATTTACTGTATGACGCCGGTGTTTATCGCCCGGCACGTGCCGTGCCTGGGATTGATTGACTCGATACAGGCGGATCAGCGAATGAGGTGAGAAACACCTTGTTGACTCTACTTACGGGTAAGGAGAGGGGGGGGGGGGCGCTAGGCACATCACCCCACCTCAGTAAATCAGTGAAACCATAAAAAAAAAGTGATGGTGATTGAGATGGGACCAAACTCAGATTGAAATAAAAA